CCTGTGCCTTCTGTAATCCTCCCCAGTGACATCACTAACCACGCAGATGGTGACCTGGCTGTACCCTGACCTCCTCGTTCCCTGGGTGGCTGGTTGTGATAGCGCATACCAGTAGGAAATGCTGACGCAGCAGAGACAAGAGAATCACAAGTTCAAGGCCAGCTTGAACTATACCTTTAAATGTGCGTTGGTCATTTGGTGTAGAGTTCTCCAGCTCCTTGGACATCCCGTTCCCAACAGCCTCACCCCCATTCCACCTTAGCCATCATCCACATCCAAATCTGCACTTATCACCTGACGTGCTCCTCTGACTGGCCACCCCAGCCTGGGACTCAGCTGTCATCACCACCCCTGCTCACACTTCATTCTGCACTCTAGTTTGGCTCATCATGTCCTATCTGGATTTCCCTCCTTAGGCCCACAGTTCTTCAGTCAGTAAAAGTTTGTGTTAGGTTTGGGGGGCACAGTCCCGTAATCCTAGTGCCTGAGAAACTAAGACAGAATGATCATGACTTTGAGACCAGACTGGGCTATAGAGTGAGATTCAGCCTCAAACCTCTTCCTTTTTTTTTTTTTTTCCTTTTGCTAAGACCATAAATTCCTTTGTTCTTATCACCTGCCTAACCCTAGGGTAAAGCCCGACACATATTTCCTGTGTCTGTGTCTAAACAGCTGGGAACTGTTGCCTGGTCTTTTCCTGGGGAGACACAAACATCTACTCACTCCAGATAAACCACCAACAGGCCAGAGTATGATTCCATTCAAGTCCGGTCTGCTGAACCAAGGAGTTGATTAGGCTTCCTTACAAAGTATGAGCAATCCCAAAGCAGCTACACCATCCAAAGGTCTCACCCCAGCACAGGTGATGACTTCCCCAGCGCGGCATAGGCGGAGCGCCCCCTTCAGGTAGATTTCCACAGTCTCTGTACCCCAGCGCCTCCCCCAGACCGCACAACCACCTGCCGCTTGGGCAGAATTACCTACATCTGGTCTAGGGAGGAGCAGCTGGAGTCTCAGGAGGGTCTAATGGCCTCAGCCCCCTCTTCTGGGAAGGAATGTCAACAGGCTCCATCCTGAGGGTCGCTAGCAAGGAGCCACAGCTGCTCCGACGAGCATGCTAACTGCAATTGTGTTCACAGGACAGTGTGCTCTAGGTGCTGGGGAGTAGGAACCGGGCAAGCTGGCTTCCTTATGAAGTCCTAGGCTCCCGCCATTAAACATCTTCAGCCTCTGCAATCCTCTGGTTTCCGAGATCGGCTTCCTCACTCCCCATAATCATTTCAAAACCTTGGATGTTTCCTCGAGCCTCCTGGCTGGGGAAGACTACAGTCTCGGGAGCAAGAAAGTTCTAATACCATCAGCTCCCAATCCCAAACCGACCAACTACTCCCACATAACCTGCCTGCCTGCCTGCCTTCTGTTCCTGAGGAGGGGTCACCCACTCCCGGGGTCACCCATTCCTGTGTGGAGTCATTAGTCCTGCCTCCCTCTCCTTCTTCTGGTCCTTCTGAGTTACTATTTGAAATCACCTTAGGCTGTAGTGGCACATACCTTTCATCTCAGCACTGGGGAGACTGAAGCCGATGGATCTCTGAGTTCGAGGCCAGCCTGGGCTAAAGAGCACATTCAAGGACAGTGGGGCTATACAGAGAAACTCTGTCTTGAGAAACCAAAAAGAAAAACTAAAGAATAATCACCTATCTGGTCACTCCATGGTGGCCTTGTCTGCAGACTGCTCCTCCATGCTGGTTTATTGGAGTACTGGTCTTGCTTCCTGTCTTCTCCCAGGATCATTTCATTCACATCTGTGTTAAATGATGCATAAGCCCTTCCCCCGGGTCGTTTACCATCACCTCTGGGATTTCTCAAAGGAAGCCCACACCCAAGATGCCCTCAAACCCAGGGTCTCCCCCAACTCCCTTCCCTCCCCACTACACAATCACCAAGACTTCAACCATTGCTCTCTGTCTCTATGCCCATGTCCTGCTGGGCCTTGCAGATTTGACTGCCTACCTTCCTCCCAACTCCTCTACCTTCCAAGCCCACCCACCCTAGCACAGGCACGCTCCAGTGCCATGGCCTTCTCACTAGCATGGGCCATGCCAGCCTGGACCCACACCAAGTCCTTGCTAGTCCACAAAGCCAGGCTACCTCTGCAAAATGTGTTGATTACATCATTCCTTTCGTAATCATCAGAGGCTCCTCATTGTTCTGGCGGTAAACCTACAACTGCTTAAACTGCTGGGTTTGGCTAACCCAGCTTGTCTGGAACTCTGCTCAGCTCTGTAATGGGTTCTGGGTTCCATGCAATTTATAGTTTGACTCTGACACATGCTGTCACTGTGATTTGGGGCAAGTTACCTGAACCTTTCACAATCTCATAATGGAACTACCTCATACGTGAGGTACAGTGGCGTGAAGTGTATCAAGCCCGCTCACCATGTCCGAGCAAGGGGCTGAGGATTAAAACAGAGACAAGACAGCTGGTCATCCGCCTCAGTAGAATGCCCTTTATTGAAGGAGGGAAGAGGCCTTAAATACAGGCTCACAGCACAGTGGAAGAACCTGGGAGGGCAAAAGTTCTCTACAGATGTTTTACATTCTAGCATTACACCAATATGCAGGATACACAAACAAGGAACCTCGGGTAAGCTGTTTAGGAGGAAGGAAACCGGCAGGGAATTAGCATAGGGAGGACATCTGATCAAGGTCAGCAAGCAAGGCAACAGCTCCCCAAGCAACGGGGGTGAGGGCCCAACCCCCCAGAGGTGGGACATCTCTTTCCACTCTCTCTGTTGTAGGAAGCACGGACTTGTTTCTGGGCCTCACCTCACCACGTTTCTCCATGCACAGGGCCTTTGCACGTGTTTTCTTCGAGTCTTGTTTCTTTAACTATTCATTGCCTGTGCAGCCTCGGGTCACAGCTCCTGTGATTTCCTTGGAGGAGTCCTCTGGAAGTCCCGGTGACGTACTACTCATCAGCACAACTGTATGTAGATTTACTTGTTTTCATTCATTTACTATTTTAGTTCTGGGGACTGGCTATTGTATACTCATGTGTCAGAATAACAATCCTTCCTCCGAGGCTCTGTGTTGCATTTTAAAAGGGGCAGGAGAAAGGAGTCACGCCATAGAACAGGACCCGCATGGGAGGTGTATTGAGGGGAGGGGGGAGAAGGGGCAGAGACCGGTCCCTGGGGACAAGAGCGAAAGAGAAAGAGATGGGAGGTGAGCAAGGCCCGCCTTTTATAAGGAAACATAGCAAATGCCTCCAGAGGGTGCTCTTAGTGGAGATATCCTGTCAGGACCCCAAGGGCAGGCCAGTACAGATGCCTAAATGCTAATACTCTGAGCTCCGCAAGCAGAAATTAATTTTTGTCAACTTTATAACTCTAGCATCTAAGCCAGGTGTGGTGATGCATGTCTTTGATCCCTCCTCTTAGAAGGCAGAGGTAGGCAGATCTCTGAGTTCAAGGCCAGTCTGGTGTACAGATCGAGTTCTGGGACAGCCAGGGCTATATAGCAAAACCCTGCCTATATAAACAAGCAAACAAAACAAAACAACCTCCAGCCACTTGCAAAGAGCCTGACATACATAATAAATGTTAAGTGAATGCTGGAGAGAGACAGAGAGGGAGGGAGGGAAGGAAGGAGGGAGGGAGCCCTCTGATGCCTAGAGACATGTATAATCAATGCTTATTTAATCTGACAAGACATCTCCTTTGGGAGAAGTTCTCAGAAGTCCTTACCTATCCCCAGACATCTGAAAATTCACAAGGGAGGGTGTTGTCTCCAAGGTGAAAACACATTCCTTACTGCACATCTGGCAACAGAGACCAGCTCCTCCCATCATCTTTGCTGCCCACAGCTGGCAGGACAGCACTCATAACACCTACTTAAAATGCTGGTGCATCTGAGCCAGGCCTGCCCTCGGGGTCCACCCAGCTGCATCGTGGGGACCCCGAGAAGGGAAGCGGGGCATCCAATCTCAACGTCACACAGCAAGTTCTTGGTAGACTCTAGGGCTCTTCCCTGCCCATTGCCAGTCACTGGTTCCCTCATTTGATAAGCTGCAAGCTCCACATGTCACCAAGAGGCAGGGGATGGAGGTCACACACACACACACACACACACACACACACACACACACACACACACATGCACACACACACCCGAGGAGGGCTGGTGAGAGGCCACAGCGGAAGATGGTCCACGTCCGTGAGGGTCTACCTCATGGAATGGATGAGCTATTTGAAGTGGTCCCTGAGAAGTAAACAGGGACAAGGGCAGAAGGGCACCTTAGCCGGCATCAGTACTGCCAGCCTGGGGGCAGTAGGGGTCAGGTGCATTTAGATGGCTCTGCCAGGCTGTTGTGAGGCTAAGGGGAGGAGGAGGGAGGCAGAGAGAAAGGTCTAAGGGAGTGAAGAGCCGCTAGGAGGGGGTGAGCTGGAAACCAGCTGCCCTGGAGACATGTCCCCTCTAGTCCTTGCGAACTGCCTTTTCTTCCACCATCACCCACCCCTGCAGAGGACACCCCATGCCACTCCCTGATGCCAGAGGTTAGATGAGGTGTTACTTTTCCCACCCAGCAGCAGCCACATGGAATCACCCATGAGCAAGATGGGAGACTAGGACGGACCCTAGGAGGAGCCAGGCAGAGGTAACGCAAGCGTTAACACAGAGGGTCCAGCCTTTGAGCAACAGGCCGTGGTGTCCGAGCTGGGGCTGAGAAGCTCAGGCTCTGTGCTGTCTGTACCCTGAGCTCCTCCTCAGCCTCTGTCTAAGCTAGAGGTGGCAGGGCCAGGCCAGACAGGGACTCAGCTGTCCCCGGGCTCAGCCATGCTTCCCACACCAACACTGTCCCCCACCCCCAGCCACTCTGTTCTTCATCCAGGACCTGCTTATCCTTCACCTACCTAGCTTGGGTCTCACGGGGCAGGATTTATGAGGGCTGCCCTGCCACGGGTCCTGGGGGTAATAAATCACAGCAGAGCCCGGGTATGTGTGTATAAAAGAAGGGCCAGGGGCTCTGGGGCCACACAGATCTTAGACAGCCTTGGCTGAACCAGATGGACGGGAGGAGGATGCCGCTCTGCGGACTCTGGTTGATTCTCTGGAGCTCTTGTGCCTTCAGTCTCCCGACAGACACAGCCACCTTTGGACGGTAACGTGGGCAGAGAAGGGCTGGCAGGGTGTGGGGGTTGGCGTCTTATAACGCTCTCAGCTTTCAGGTACGCTGGGTCACCCGGTTCTTATAGCCAGTCAGCCATGGATGTGTAGTCCTGTCATGATCATTTGAGTGACGTGCCCAATGCCACACAGCCATAACTAATTAGGCCTGGAAGGGTTGTCTTCGGATTCTCTTCTAGAGGACCACATGTTTCTGATGCCTAAATTCATACTGCACTGATTGAGGAGGACACAGGTAAGGAGAATGGTGAAGAGGTCAGGTGCAGGTCCTCTAGATTTTTCCAGGTTCAATTTTCTGCTTCACTAGCAGTAAAGCCAGCTCCAGCAGCAAGCTAATCTCACCAAGTTTTAGTGCACCGTTTTAAAACAGGATCATAAAAGACACTGCTTCGTGGCCGCTGGGCGGTGGTGGTGCACGCTTTTAATCCCAGCACTCGGGAGGCAGAGCCAGGCGGATCTCTGTGAGTTTGAGGCCAGCCTGGTCTACAGAGCAAGATTCAGGACAGGTACCAAAACTACACAGAGAAACCCTGTCTCGACCCCC